CTTCCGACCTGCCCGCCTAAGCGCTCCGGAGCCGCGGAACCGAGGCCCGCCCCCTTCCGGAGGCCACAACCATCAAGAGGGCCCCCGGGCCAGAGAAGCGACGGCTAACGAGACCCTGGGGCTAGAACGGCCCGGCGAAGCCGCCGGCTGTCTCCTTGACAACCAAACTTCATCCGCCCCCACACCGCGCGTTCCAGCAAACACGTGCGTCCCGCAGCCGAGGGGCGTGGCCTCCGGGCGTTCGCGCCCCCCTCTTCCCCCCATGTCATCCCGGATTCCTACACTGGGGAGCTGGGAAATCCCAGTTCACAAACCGGGCCTGCCTGGGCTGGACTCCTGCCCCAGCTTGTACTAAATACAAGCCCCAAGCCTCTTGGATCTCAAAGCCACATTCCAGTGACCTTGGGAGTCCTACACTCACAGCCTGGGGCCCTGGACGTTCCTAAATTCAAACCTCACCTTAGTCTGAAAAATACATTACTAGGACCCAGCTAGTCCCAAATCTATACCCCAACATCTTGTCAGTGAGGTTCAATGTAACACCCCAGGAGCCCAGGGAGAACAAAATCCACACACCAGACCCCCACCCTCCCACAGGAGTCCTTTATTGGCACCCGAACACCCTAATGCTCACCCAGAGCCCCCCAAAGCACCCTCCTGATCAGGTGGGGCCAGCGCCGGCCTGGCTGCCCAATACCCTGTTTCCTGGCTGACCTGGAGCTGCTCGCAGAGCCTCAGTCCTGGCTGCTCCCTCGTGGGCTCCCAGAAGCTCAGGCAGGAGGCAGGCAGGTCCAAGATAGAAAACCCCAACCTAGTCCCAGCTAGTGGACCTTCCGGAGGGCCTCTGTTTTTTCAGACTCCTGGGTCCTGCTTTCCTGCACTGTGCCCATGAGGGCCTCTGCCCTCTGCTTCTCTCCAAGCTCCCCCTCCTCTGCCCTCCTACCCACCCCACCCTGCTTGTTTTCTTCCCTGCTTGGCAGACCTTTTCAGTGCAATCCTTGGAAGAAGGCCTGGGCCTGTTTCCAGAGCCATTTGGAGGACAAGGCTTGGCAGGAGCTCACTCGCCCTCCCCCCTCCCCCATGCTGTCATTGGTTCCTGCTGGCCTTCCAGGGTGGGTGGAATGGGTTCGAGGAGACAAATTCCGAAGGGCCCAGAACAACGACCAGTAACTATCCTGCCAGGTAGCCCTATTGTGATTACCCACATTTTACAGGTAAAAAACTGAGCACGGGAACTGTCACGCCAGCTCAGAGTTGAGATTCATTCATTCACAAATGTGGGCAGAGAGCTTGTCCCCTGTCCTCCTTCCCTTTCCTTCTTCCCTAAACTTCTCTACCCCTTGCGGCTTCTTGCTCAGATTTCCCTCTTCTCCCCTGCCTCCCTCCCTCCTCCTCTGCCCTCCTCCCCCTCTTCTGTTTCTTTCTCCCCCTTCCCCTTTCCTCCACTTCCCTTTGTGCTCTTCTTCCCCTACTTCCCTCTCTTCCTCCACCCACTCCTCCTTCCCCTTCTCCCTCCTTCTATCCCTCCTCCTCTTCCTCCTCCCCTCCCTCTTAGTTCCCTCTCCTCCTCCCATTATCTCACCCAGCTCACGGAGCCAGAACTGAATAGTGCACGTGACAATCTCTTCCAACTCTACCCACAGCTCCTGGAGATTCTCTTATGAGTCTTCAGCCTGAAATCATGAAATCCAAAAGACTCTGGAAGCTCAACTTTTTCTTAAGGTGGTGTCAGAACTCCAGCGGTGACCTAGGCTGTTTTCAGTGATCATCCCATTATCTCACCAAGCTCACGGAGCCAGAACTGAATTGTGCACGTGACAATCTCTTCCAACTCTACCCACAGCTCCTGGAGATTCTCTTATGAGTCTTCAGCCTGAAATCATGAAATCCAAAAGACTCTGGAAGCTCAACTTTTTCTTAAGGTGGTGTCAGAACTCCAGCGGTGACCTAGGCTGTTTTCAGTGATCAAAACTGAAAACATTTTTTATTCCTCTTTATCCTTTATTCTTCCCTTTTCAGCGATACCCCACAACCCAGCAACATCATGCAACACTCAGTTACCTTCCTAAGATAGAAAAAATTCCCAATCCCAAAATACATGGTGACCTTAAAAATAAAACAGCGATTTTACCAGCAAAAATAGGGAACAGCAAAGAATTTCAATTCGGGACAAGCAAGTTTTAGCAAAAGCCATAGGAAAGTCCCACATACAAAGGAGAGGAATGTTACTTTATGGAGGAAAAAGGAGGAAGTTGGGAAGGGTTGCTGTAAGAGGAAGTCCATCAGAGAAAAGTGAGAGTTCAGGGAGATTAGTTTTTCACTGGCTAGGTAACCGGGGTAGGGGGAATGCACACCCCGTTCTGTTGAGGGTCTGTAATTGACATGGAGCGGTACTGTGTGAGAGCGCCCCCTGCTGGCCTCCCCACTCCATTTTAGTGAGGTTTTCCCCTTATTTTCCATACAACCTTACCCATGCCAGGGATTCCAGATGAGCAATTAAGAAACTGGCCAGGTAACTCAGTTGGCTGGAGCTAATCCGGTGCACCCAAAGATTGTGAGTTTGATTCCTAGTCAGGGCACATACCTAGGTTTTGAGTTGGATCACCACCAGTCCGGGCATGTAAGGGAGGCAAGCAATCTGTGTTTCTCTCCCCCTCCCTTCCCTTTTCTCTAAAGAAAAACCAATAAAAACATATCCTTGGGTGAGAATTTTTTTTAAAAAAGAAATGAGCCGAAACCGGTTTGGCTCAGTGGATAGAGCGTCGGCCTGCGGACTGAAAGGTTCCAGGTTCGATTCCGGTCAAGGGCATGTACCTTGCTTGCGGGCACATCCCCGGTGGGGAGTGTGCAGGAGGCAGCTGACCGATGTTTCTCTCTCAAAAAATAAAAATAAATAAAAATAAAAAAGAAATGAAAGAAACAGCCCTATTCCCATTTCACAGACGTGGAAACTGAGGCTTAGACAGGGGGACAGAACTCAGGGTCAAACCAGGCTCTCACCTTCTCCAGATGGGTGGCCTTGGGAGAGTCACCTCTCCCCTCTACCTTGCTTGCCCTTTGGGTAATAACACCCGACTCCTGAGGCGCTGTAAATCACATATTTATTGATCACCCCCTGTACAAAGACAAGGAACTCTTTATCTGGAGAATGAAGGGGCTACCACAGTAGCTGTGGGGGGCACAACCTGATGGACATCTCCCTCCCCAGAGGGACCCCAAGTGCCTGCAGGCCACAGCAGAAGGAATTCTTCAAACTTTCTGGAAGGAGAGAAATGAAACATACATTGAAATAAGGTACAGAGAGAGCAGAGCATGGGTGTGTCACTGTAAGTGGAACATGAGCACCGTGTGGGAGTGAGCAATTTCTCTGCCGTGGTCAAGTGCCCACCACAGTAAAGGTATGAGTTTCCCGGAGCTGCCAAAACAAAGTACAATAAACCCTCGATTTTGTAGGCCTTCGTTTAGTGGACTTCGTAATTAATGGACAAAACTTCCCGGCCATATGTCATATGTGAAAATTAACGCCCTGTTAATTTTACAATGTTTTTGACTCAGATTTGCTTATAATGAAATTAACAGGTTTTTTTTTATTATTAATTCACTGGTTTTGGTGTTTGTGTGTGTGTTTTGTTAATCCTTACCCAAGGATATTTTCTCCATTGATTTTAGAGAGAATAATAGGGAGGGTAGAGACAGAGAGAAACATCAATGTGAGAGAGACACATCGACTGGTTGCCTCCTACATGTGGGGGATCAAGCCTGAAACCAAGGTACGTGCCCTAGACCAGAATCAAACCCATGATCCTTCTGTCCTCTGGCCTACGAAGAACACAGATTTCAATCTCAACTCTGCCGCTCACTAGCTGTGTGACCATATGCTTACTTTCTTTGTGTCTAAGATTCAAGAGAATAATTTCATATGGTTGGTTTGGATATTAAAATCACACAGCTAACGCAGAGCAGGACCTGGTGTTTAAGGTCTCAAATGATAGCAAATACAGGGTGTCCAAAAAGAAGTATACACACTTTGTATAATTATTAATTCCAATGGGTTAAATCTGAAAAGAAAGAGACATCAATTGAGCTATCAGCTATTAAAGTGTGTATATATGATTTTTGGGGGGACGCCCTGTATATTTTGAAAACGTTCTAGCTACTTTAAAAGTTTTTAGCATTTAAGAGGATCTATTTATATTAGAACCGTGATTTAATTAAAATTTACATTTCATTCACTACAAGTATCTACTGCTTTTTGAAAGTTTACTTTATGCCACTTCACTTTTATAAAAGACCTACACTATTACATGTTTTTGCTAACCAAAAGAAATTTGAAAAGGATTTGTGAGTCTACAAAAGAATAAGAAAAGCAAAAGTAGTGTTCAGCATTGTTTGGCAGGGAGAGCATTTCAGAGGCAGCACTCACCCTGAGCGGGGAGAATGGTACCACTAGCTCCTTCCGCAGGAACAAGCCACCTTAGCTTTGAACTATGTGTGTGAGCATCGGTGCTTTATTTATCTCAATTTATTTTGTGTGTCCTAGATATGTCATAAGGTGGTAATTGCTTCTTCCCCATTTCAGTTTACGGAAGGTTTCATAGGAACACTCCATTTTCAGATAATGGGGGAAATGTATAAACAATCTTTTAAAAATTTGAGCAAATACATTTTGAAATACAGTACATATTTCTTAATTTAGCTTTATTGTTGAAAGTATTACAGATGTCCCCCTTTTTTTCCCGTTGACCCCTTCCACCCTGCCCTCATAGTACATACGTTTTAATTTCTTAGTCATGAATGTAGTGCATAAGTATTTCGTGTTTCTATTAGAGAAATGTTAATTCAAGTCATAGATTAAGCCATCAGAGCTCAGACAAGGTATAAATAAGAGTATTCTTTCCCTTTAGGTAGAACGAATCTCTCCACAAAGCTCCCTGAATCATTACCCTTTAGGCCTCCTGTAACATATGCTCCTCCTCCTACCCAAGGCTGGTGCCTCCAGGCCTGAGGAGGGCCTGCCCTGGGGCAGTCGGGAATATGTGGGTTCTTGACTTTGTGCAGGAGTTTACGATTTGAGTTCAGGTGATTTTGAGAGTACATTTACGAAAGCCGGGGACGGTGAAACAAAGGAAGGACTTAAGATAGAAGAGGCAAGATCACAGCAACAGGAGTGAGCCTCAGCTGAGCTGCCTAGACTCAGGGAAGGAAGTCACAGTCACAGAAATGAGCCACACTGGGCTGTGTGGGCTCAGGAAACAAGTTACAGAAGCAAAAGGGGGGGCCCTTGGAGATAAATTCAGGGAGTTAGCCTGGGGCAAGTTGCTGCTGCCTGCTGCTCCCCTGGTTGCAAGTCTGGTAGAAATCCTGGGAGATTGGGAGTAAAAAGGCAAAGGTACACGCCTGAGGAAGGAAGGGAGGGCATGGACGAGCTCAAGGGAGAGTCAGCACTGGCATCCTTTCTTTTTTAAATATATTTTATTGATTTTTTTACAGAGAGGAAGGGAGAGGGATAGTTAGAAACATCGCTGAGAGAGAAACATCGATCAGCTGCCTCCTGCACCAAGCTTCTTTCAGGGTCTGCACCCGCTACTGAGGATGTGCCCACAACCAAGGTACATGCCCTTGACCAGAATCGAACCTGGAACCCTTCAGTCCGAAGGCCGACGCTCTATTCTATCCACTCCAAACCGTAAGGGCAGCACTGGCATCCTTTATCTCAAGTTTTTTTTTTGTCTGTTTTCTTTAAATATATTACATATATTATTATTATTGTTATTATTATTGATTTCAAAGAGAGAAAGGAGAAGAGAAACATCCATGATGAGAGCGAATCATTGATCAGCTGCCTCCTGCACACCCCCTTACTGGGGATCGAGCCTGCAACCTGGGCATGTGCCCTTGACTGGAATCAAACCCGGGACCCTTCAGTCTGCAGGCCAATGCTCTATCCACTGAGCCAAACTGGCTAGGGCTAGCTGGCTGTTAATTGCTTGGCCTTATTTAACTATGTGTCCCTGTTTTCCTCATTCCACTTGCCAAGGTGTTTCCTAGCTTCTTACTAACCTGCCTCAATACAACAGCCATCAACTATTTCTCAGGATACATGGGCGGCCAGTCCCTCTGTGGTCTCGCTGGATCAGTCACTCGGCTATATTCTTTGGGTGGCTGGGCTAGAGGATGATATGAGTGGCAGGTGGTGCTGGCTGCTAGCTGGGCATCTAGTTCTCCAGGTGGCCTCTCACCCAATAGACTAGAAAAGGAGTCTGCAGACCACAGCTCACAGGCCAAAGCCAACTCGCCAGGAGCTAGGAAGGGTTTTTACATTTCTGAATGGTTGAAAAAAAGTCAAAAGACTAATATGTCATAACACATGACGATTCTATGAAGTTCAAATTTCAACATCCATAAATAGCATTCTACTGGAACCCAGACACATAAATTCATTTATATATTGTCTAGAGCAGCTTTGCATGACAAAATTTAAAGTTGCATCAGAGACTGTATGTCTCACAAAACTGAAAATATTTATTACCTGGCCCTTTACAAAAAAGGCTTGTCAACCTCTGGGCTAGTTTGGCTTCCTTGTGTTAACCAACTCGAAGGGTTCACAGTTTGGGGGGTGCTCTATTCAGAAATGAGACCTAGGCCTGGGCCAGTGTGGTTCAGTTAATTAGAGCTTCATCCTGTTCACTAAAAGGTAGTGGGTTTGCTTCCTGGTCAGGGCACATACCTAGGTTGTGGGTTCAATCCGTGATGGGGGCGAGTATGGGAGGCAATCGATTGATGTTTCTCTCTCACATCAATGCTTCTCTCTCTCTCTCCCTCCTCTCTCTAAAATAAATTTAAAAATTAAATAAATAGCCCAGCCCGCGTGGCTCAGTGGTTGAGCGTTGACCCATGAACCGGAGGGTGACCGTCTGAATCTCTGTCAGGCACATGGCAGATTGTTGGCTCCATCCCCGGTAGGGGGCTTGCAGGAGGCAGCTGATTCTTTCTCATCATGGATGTTTCTATCCCTGTCTCCCTCTTTCCTCCCTCTCTGAAATCAATAAAAACATATTAAAAAAGGAAAACTCTGCCTTCTTTATTTAAAAAATTTAAATTAAAAAAATTAAATAAAAAGGAATGACACGTGGTTGTCGCAAGGTAGTTTTACTTACTTGCAGCAAGTAACGGAGACAGGGGATTCATATCTGAAGCTGGTGTCCCCTAAGGAAGGCTTAGCCATTGGTTTGGGGGTTTTTTGTTTGTTTGTTTGTTTGTTTGTTTTAAATATATTTTATTGATTTTTTTTACAGAGAAGAAGGGAGAGGGATAGAGAGTTAGAAACATACTGATGTTTCTATCCCTGTCTCCCTCTCCCCTCCCTCTCTGAAATCAATAAAAACATATTAAAAAAAGAAAACTCTGCCTTTATTTAAAAAAATTAAATTAAAAAAATTAAATAAAAAGGAATGACACATGGTTGTCGCAAGGTAGTTTTACTTACTTGCAGCAAGTAACGGGGACAGGGGATTCATATCCGAAGCTGGTCTCCCCTAAGGAAGGCTTAGCCATTGGTTGGGGTTTTTTTTAAAAATATGTTTTTATTGATTTCAGAGAGGTAGGGAGAGGGAGAGCAAGATAGAAACATCAATGGATTGAGCCCGCAACCTGGACATGTGCCCAGACCGGGAATCGAACCATGGCCTCTTGGTTCATAGGTGGACCAACGCTAACCACTGAGCACACCAGTTAGGCAAGGCTTAGCCATTGTTTATATACACTATTTGGTTAATCACACATTGATTTCTTCTTTGCAATTGGCTACAATGATCTGGTTGGGTTCTTGTCAAGCTCATCCTGTTTCCAGCTGCCTGCAAAACACTGTGCTACATTTTAACATTTAGTGTAAGGCTTAGAGCTGCCCAGACCTTGAGACCCTTGTCCTGTCTAATACTTGGAGCATCTGGAGGAAGCATTCCAAGAGAGTGACAGCGGGAGGTGAGAGTAACCCTGTAAACTCACACCTTCTGCCACGTTCTGTTGAGCGAAACAAGTCACAAGCCAGCCTGGATCCAAGGAGAGGGGAACTGGTTTCCCTCTCTTGATGGAGGGGCTGCAAAATACGGTGGCCATGATGTTCAACCCTGCACATCAGGGGACCTTAAGGTGGACTGTCCAGTCAGAATTCAGGGGGGAAGTCATCTTTATTTCCATGAACTTCTCACCAGAATCTAGCAAGCCTCTCAAGCCTGTCACAGCAGGCACCGGCCGGTCCTGTGACCCCTTCACCCGTGGAAACCCAAGATAATTTCACATCACATCCTGGTCACGGCAGACACCTCAAAATACCACTGATGCTCATCTCCACTTGGAGATGGCAGTGATTAGTAGAGCCCTGGTGAATCGGGATTACTTAATGTGCTCATGAAGAAGCATGTGTTTTTACATCGCATAAGGAAAAGGTCTCATACCTTATGTCAGTCTGACGGGCTTCCTTTGCAGTCCTGCGCATTTTTAAAATGCATTTGCAGTTATGCCTTGAGAAAGGGCCCTAGAAACTGCCCTCCGCCCTGGGAGGCTCTGCAGAATCAGGTCAGACTCAGGTCATGGCTTAGGCAGATTAGCAAGGCCCTAAACTGACCTCTTAAAGATCCCTAATCCTGGGACAGCAGCCAGCCAGCAGGCTGAGGGCCACACAGGTCCCTGCACCCTTTCCCAGGCCCTAGCCAGGGCTGCCATGGCCTCCCTATTCTCTGGTCGAGTTCTGATCCGAAACAACAGTGACCAGGACGAACTGGATACAGAGGCAGAGCTCAGCCGCAGGCTGGACAACCGACTGGTGCTGCTGTTCTTTGGCGCTGGGTCCTGCCCCCAGTGCCAGGCCTTTGCACCGATTCTCAGGGACTTCTTCATTCGGCTCACCGATGAGTTCTATGTGCTGCGGGCAGCCCAGCTGGCCTTGGTGTATGTGTCTCAGGACACCACAGAGGAGCAACAGGACCTGTTCCTCAAGGACATGCCCAAGAAGTGGCTCTTCCTGCCCTTCGAGGATGACCTGAGGAGGTGAGGTGGGAGGGGAGGTCAGGGAGGGCTTCCTGGAGGAGGGGCTGTTTCTGCTGAGAGTGAAGTATTTTTTTGTTTGTTTTATTGTTGACAGTATTACAGATGTCCCCCACTTCCTCCCCCTCCACCTAGTCCCCACCCCATTCCAGGCCTTCACCGCACTATTGTCTCTGTCCATAGGCTATGCATATATGCATATAAGTTCTTGGGTTAATCTCTTCTCGTCCCCCTCCTCTCCTCCCCTCTGAGATCTGTCAGGCTGTTCCAGGCATCCATGCCTCTGGACCTATTCTGTTTATTTTGTTCTTTAGATTCCACATATAAATGAGATCATGAGAAATTTATCTTTTTCTGACTGGCTTATTTCGTTTAGCATAATAGTCTCCAAGTCCATCCATGCTGTTGCAAAGGGCAAGAGATCCTTCTTTTTTACAGCTGCATAGGGTTCCATTGTGTAAATGTACCACAGCTTTTTTATCCACTCATCTACTGATGGGCACTTGGGCTGTTTCCAGATCTTAGCTATTGTGAATAACACTGCTATGAACAAAGGGGTGCATATATTCTTTCTGATTGGTATTTCGGAATTGTTAGGATATATTCCCAGGAGTGGGATCGCTGGGTTAAACGGTAGTTCCATTTTTAATTTTTGGAGGAAACTCCATACTGTTTTCCATAGTGGCTGCACCAGTCTGCATTCCCATCAGCAGTGTACTAGGGTTCCCTTTTCTCCACATCCTTGCCAGCACTTGCTGTTTGTTGATTTAGTGATGGTAGCCATTCTGGCAGGTGTGAGGTGATACCTCGTAGTTTTAATTTGAATCTCTCTGATGATTAGTGATGTTGAACATTTTTTTTCATATGTCTATGGGCCATCTATATGACCTCTTTGGAGAAGTGTCTACTCAGGTCCTTTGCCCATTTTTTAAAAAATATTTTTTTTTTATTGATTTCAGAGAGAAAGGGAGAGGGAGAGAGAGATAGAAACATTAATGATGAGAGAGAATCGTTGATTGGCTGCCTCCTCCATGCCCCCCATTGGAGATCCAGCCCACAACCCCAGGCATGTGCCCTGACCGGGAATCGAACTGTGACCTCCTGGTTCATAGGTTGACGCTCAACCACTGAGCCCATTTTCTAATGGGACTGTTTGTCTTCCTTTTGTTGAGTTCTTTATATATTTTGGAAATTAACCCCTGATCAGTTGTATCATTGGCAAATATGTTCTCCCAATGCAGTGGGTTCCCTTTTCATTTTGATGATGGTTTCTTTTGCTGTGCAGTTTTTTAGTTTGATGTACAGTATTCGTTTACTGACAGAGCGCCATCTGGTGTTGAGCAGCCAGTCTATATTCGGAGGACTGAGGGCTACAGAGCAGGGCCTACACATCCCTGTGTCCATCCAGCCCCCAGGGAGTTTCACAGACTCAAATACATAATAGCAAACTGCAGTATGTTCTGGAGGACAGAGGAAGAGGAAGGATGCCATGTAGAGATATAATGGGGGGACCTTGCTGAGATGTGGGGGTCAGGGGATGCTCACTTAAGGAAGTGGCTTTAAAGAGAGACCTCTGAGGACAGGAAGGTTGGGAGGATGAAGTATGAGGAAAGGGGAGGGTTTCTAGGCAGAGGCCATAGCACAGCACAAAGGCTCAAAGGACAGCCAATTTAGGGAACGATAAGTAATTACAGGTGTGAGAAGTCAGCAGGCACCACGTGGAGCAGCGCCCCAAACGCCACCTTAACAAGTGTGATGTGGTCCTCAGCATAGCTGGGAGCCATGGAGGGCGCTGGAGCTGAGGGAGGGAGAGGTGGCAGGAGTCAAGCTTTACAATTAGCGGCCCAATAAATGGTGCTTTAGTCTGTGGCTATTTTTAAAAATATATATTTTTATTGATTTTAGAGAGGAAGGGAGAGGGAGAGGGAGATAGAAACATCAATGATGAGAGAGAATTATTGATCAGCTGCCTCCTGCACGCCCCCTAATGGGGATCAAGCCCACAACCCGGGCATGTGCCCTTGACCAGAATCGAACCCGGGACCCTTCAGCCCACAGGCCAACACTCTATCCACTGAGCCAAACCAGCTAGGGCTATGGCTATTTTAGAACTTTCCCCTTTTCTGCAGCAAGCCTTTCACTCTTTTTAAACCCCAACTTTTTATTATGAAAATTTTCAAAAATACCAACAAGTTGGAAGAAGCACACAAGGAAACGCTAGGTCAGTGTTAACATCTTGCCATATTTGCTTTATCTACATACGTGTGAGGTTTGTGCTGAAACATTTGAAAGTGAGTTGCAGACTTCGTGACATTTTCTGATTTCATTCATTTTGTTACACAACAAGTTGTAAGTTTCTGGTCATGAAGAACTTCATTCTCCACCCGAGATTATCAAAGTTTGGACATTGGCTCACTCCCACTGCCCTCTGCAGCTGGGCGGGGTAGTGGGGGGCGGGGGAGTTCTTTCCCCAGAAGTAGTGCCAGCTGCCAGGACATCGTAGAAAATGCTGACCTTGTTTGAGGCGCTCCTCTCAACAAAACATCCACCCAGCTGGCACCTGGAGAAAGTGAGCCAGTTCCAATCCTCCACCCCCTCCCACAGGATTGCCAGATACAGTGGGGCCTTGACTTACGAGTGTCCCGACTAACGAGTTTTTTGAGATACCAGCTGTCTCTCAGCCGATTCTTTGCATTGAGTTGATAGAGTAATTTGAGTTAACGAGCTCCTTAACGAGCTCGGTCTCCGAACGAATTAAACTCGTAAGTCAAGGCCCCACTGTATAGGATGCCCAGTAAAACACAAATTTCACACAAACTATGAACAACTTCTTAGTATAAGTTTGTCCTACATATTACATGGGACATCCTTATACAAAAAAGTATTTGTTTATATGAGATTCATACTTAACTGGGTGTCCTGTATCTTCACTTGCTGTCTGGGATTTTGCAGGGATCGTGTGTTCTCTGTGTGGAGGCCTGGAAAAGGGCCACCCAGGAACCAAGGGGGTGGAAATTAAGAAGCGAGGGTGAGGCGCGCTCCCCGGCCTTCCCCTTCCCCCTCCTCTTCCCCGCAAGTGTGTTAGCTTTGCCTTTCTCTCTCCGGAGCCAAAGGGCCCTTCTTCTGCCTCTAACTCATTTCCTGAGCCTACGCAGCCCAGCTGGCTCGCTTCTACTACTTCTGTAACTTTCTAATTTGGAAAAAAGAAAAAGAAAGAAAGAACTGTGGGTGATGGGCCCAGTCTGGCTCCCTTTACTCAATGCAGACTGTGAGGGATTCTGGCCTAGATAGGTCCTGGGGGGGGGGGGGGGGGGGGGGGGCGTGGGCTGTGGATGGTTCTCACCAGCTTCCTCCTCAGACTGAAAAGAAAACGTGGTAACCCTGTGGGCCCTGCGTGATCAAGTCAGCACCCCAATCTCCCTCCCACCTCAGGGCCTTTGCATGGGCAGCGCCTTCTGCCTGGGATCCCTTCTCCCAACTCCTCCCCCCCCCCCCCCCCCCAGCTCAAAGGTCACCTCCTTGGAGAGGCCCTCCCTAACCGCCAGCCCCTACCCACACTTCTTTATGGCATTTATCAATATTCATTCATTCCTCCCACACATTCCAGGAGTAGTACCTACTCTGCCTCCCACACTGTTTCAGGCACTGGGGACACAGTGAGTAAGAACAGAACCCGTGCCCTGGCGAAGCTAGTTCTATTGTGGGAGAAATAACCGATGCAATGTGCTGGATGCTGACAGGCACTGAACGGCAGAGGGAAAGGAGGTGCTGCGATGTGAAGTTGGGTCTCAATGGGCAGAGGTCTGGGAAGAGCGCACCAGGAAGAGCAGACAGGAGACGGCGCGTGCAAAGTCCCTGAGACGGGAGCGAGTCGGGCTGTCGGAGGGAGACACAGCGCAGGGCCGGTGTGGCCTGGCCTGCCCGGGTCCCAGGCTTCCC